TTGGATAACTGTATTTGTTGCATCTTGTTCAATTTTGTTAATATTGATTAACCTAAAGGGTTCAAATGTAACAAAGAAAATTGTGACTAAGTTTCCGGGTGCGGGTATGCGGACACTAGTTAAAGTAGGCCCTATATATCTATTTATAGTTATAGAAATGAAAGATTGTTTATCTGTTTGTCCTATATGAATTACTACATCTTTTTCATCGGATCGCCATAAAACTTTGTGAACAGAGTTTTTTCCAGGAATCTATTCGGAGGGGGGGGGGGGGGGGGTGAGGGAGGCAGAGCCCCCCCCCCCCCCCACCCCCCGAAGAAAGTCTATCGACCCCCCCCCCCCCAACCCCCGAACGAAACGGAATTTATATAGAAAAAAAATATACTTTTAACAGTGTCCGCACGCCCACCCCGCCGGAAAGATTTCGCCAGGGCGGCGCCCTAGCAGGAAGCAGAGGTGTAGCAACCTATTCCGGCGCCCGGGGCGAACTATCACTGTTGTGCCAACCCTATTCAAACGCTGGCAAAAAGGCGCCCATCCCTACATACACTCCCCTATATAAAATAATTGAGGATATCAGTCATGGATAAATCTGTTTTCTTAAATTTTACTGAAGAATGAGGATTTTTAAAAAAATTGTCTACCCCTTTTGGCGCCCCATTCGATCTGGGGTCTCTGACAGGAAGCAATGCAATTTTTCTCCATAAAAATAAAAGCCAGATGCAATTTGACACTTTTCGTACGAGAGTCATAAAATTTTGGGGGGGGTTGGTGAAAAGGGTTTCGAGAAAGAAAAAAATTCTTAAGTGTGGCACCCTGGGAGGATTCGATTTTTCTCATTATACGATTATGAGCTCAGAATCCAGAGGGGAATCCAGAGGGGCTATCTCATCAATTGCGGTCATAGGTAATACTAGATTCAGCAGAGGCGTAGCGAGGGGGGCGGAAAGTACATATGTCCCCGGGCGCCAACCCTAGGGGCGCCAAAATGGGTGGGAAAAATTTAAAAGCTCATTTTAGCTACAGTTTTGCATTATAAATATTTAAAAAATACGGGGGGGGGGGACGCCAAATTGAAAGTTTGTCTCCGGCGGGAGGGGGGGGGAGGGCGCCAAATTGAAAATTTGTCCCCAGGCGCCAGGAATGGTGCTACGCCTCTGAGATTCAGTGATAAAACTACACCAGGTTCATCCGCCAGCTCCCTGGCGGTTGAGTGGCCCAGAGCGGCCAAGACCCACCTCGGGCGACACTACGGTTTAGATGGGCTACTATAAATATTCACTAAGTAGAATAATGAGCGCCCGCCGGCGCCCTGGCAGTTGGCGACAGCAAGCGCCCCGGGCTCTACAGAGAGCGCCTCTTTAAAGAGCACCCTACAATAGGGACACGGTGGCACACGACATTTTATAATTAAACAGAATTAGGGGCGCCCCTGCGGGAGTATAACCAGTGGCTCCCTGGAGCGCCAAGGGACGCGTCTCTAACACATGGGCGGTCGCAATGTGTGTTCTACCTCACTATTACAGAGGTTGATTAACGTACACTCAAGGCTTTCATACAATGAGCCTTGGTGCGTCTAGGCGGCAGTGTGGACAAACCCGCGCCCCAAAAACGAATATGTGGGTTTGTTTGTATAAGCATTACCAAAGATTTCATTCGTTTGTCATTCAAATCTGAGAAGTTAATGCTAATACCCCTGTGGTGGTTTCTGCGAAAAAAAAATTCGATTTGGTGGCGCCCTGGCAGGGTTCCATTTAGCTCCCCGTGTTTTCCCGTAAGTACTATGGTACCTTTGTTCGTTTTAATAATTGCGAAACGCTATGAATATGATGGGCTACTATAATCGCTCACTATACCGAGTGAGGCGCCTTCCTACCTAGGCCCACCTACCTACATACCTAACTCCCTGCCTATGTACCTACCTATCTACTAACCTGCCTGCGCTGCTGCCTGCCTACCTACTTTCCTACCTACCGTTATTCCTGCCAAACTGCTTTCCTTCCACCCCGCCTGTCTACCCACCTCACATCCTACTTACACACACACATATCTTCGTATATATATATATATATATATATATATATATATATATATATATATATATATATATATATATATATGTATGTGTTAGTGTGCTCTAGGACTATGTATTTTTACATTTTTGTTGTTACGTAGAACTATTCAGTATAAAGGAGTTTCCTTTTTTTTTGACGTTGTAACTGCCGCTAAAATATTCTTTTTTGTATGTGTGCATAAAATAGTGTAGGTTTATTAACAAAAGTAAATTTTAGTATGTATTTAAGTGTATATAATCATTTTCGTCAAACCAATGTGTTCATAATCTTAAATTTAAAAACCCATGAAACTCGATAGCCAAAGAGTTAGAATGAGAATAATTGCTATTTAACCAGAAACACCCATTCTAATTATTGTAATAATATTTTTTTAAATAAATATACACAGAGATAGATTGTTTTCTTATATAATTAATTTAAAAAGTCAACTGTATTTCATAACGAAAATTAACACAAAATACATTCGAATAGAAACTGTCAAGGGAGACTACTCTAATATTTGTAGGAATAATAGTTTTTATTTAGAGTTTTTTTATTATTAGAAGAAAAGTTAATCATGTAGGTTCTATAAAAGATTACCTTGCATTTAAAAAAAAAAAGATATTCGATAGGTTTAGAATGAGAAATAGTCAAAATTAAGTATTATATTCATAAGTTGTTTTTTTTAATAATATAGTACAAAGACCTGTTTTAATTATTTTTTAAAAATCTTATTTTAATTAATAAATTATAAATAAAGATCGAGGATCTATATTTTTAAAAAATAGTTTAACTGTCCCTAAACAATTGTATCAATCGCTGAGAAATTAAGAATTAATAATTACGTTTAACGCTTTATTAATTAAACGAGTTGAATTATTTCCGTTTTGATAAACTCTCTCTCTCTTTATAACTACTAACGCTTTATCATTGAGTTTCTCGAGAGAAAAATACAGGAGAGCGGTAGTTATCATTGACTCTGTCATTGATAATTTCATTGAGTCTTTCATAGAAAATAGTGTTTGATCGGCTGGAGAGAGAGAGAGAGAGAGAGAGAGAGAGAGAGAGAGAGAGAGAGAAAAGTTCAATATGGGCTTTTATATATTAGGATTGTCTATCGCACTGGCTTTTATATCTTAGGATTGTCTATCGCACTGGCTTTTATATATTAGGATTGTCTATCGCACTGGTTAAAAATCTTACTCTGCAGGAGCGCAGGATGATGCGCCTGATTTGGTAGAGTTAACGATTATAGTTGCCTATCGTGTCTTTAGTGTATAGTGTATAGCCTTATCGTAGACGCCGTAGTGCTCTCAAGGGATCCCGGGGCGCTTCGGGTCACGCAATAACCGGGGCGCCGCCGGTTGCGCTTGTTGAAGTTTTAACTCTGAAAATAGTAGTACTCCTTATCCGTTATGTAGGACGCCCGATTAACGAATATCAAGTGCTCAGATAGCCGCTTTGGAACTCTGCGCGCCAAACCATGAATTGACAAAATATCGCACCCTCCCGGGGCGCCGTCCTTGTGAAATAAAAGAAATTTTATTTTCGCAGAAATCTCCCCTAGAGTCTTCTAATCAAATCCCCAAAGTTTAATGGCGATCGGATGATAGCTGTAAAACCGCAATCGACTTTTATTTTTATAAACCGTATATAGAAAAGAATCAAAGCGCGCCCTGCCGGGGCGCTACTCCTGCAATTTTTTCCCCCCGCATAAACCTCCCCAGGAGTATTATCAACAAAGGTGTAGTAATGCATAAAAACAGAAACACACACATATAAATTGATATATATATATATATATATATATATATATATATATATATATATATATATATATATATATATATATATATATATATATATATATATATATATATATATATATATATTAGTGCACGACTGCGGGGCATTGAGTTAGCATTGAACAGCTCTTGATGTAATCAACAAAATTTATATGCACAGGTGTTTGCTTATGTCATCTGTGTAGCTATTTTTTGTATGACGCTACCGTTCAACCCCCTACACCGTCATCTTTACCGGAAACTAAAATAGCCGGCGTGTGTGCGTATTAAATTGCAAAACGAAATGAGAAAACCGCAAAAGTTGGATAGTGTAGAGGAAGCGAATAAAGCAATAGGAAGACGAAGAGAATCCTTCGGGTGTTAGCGTCTTTATCAGATAACTTCTACTGAAGCTTTAAACTCACGATGATTGCTTGCTGGCAGAAAGGCGTTCGTTTTGCAAACAGTTTACTTTGTATATTTTATCATTACATTTAGAGGTGATATACAGTGTTTCTTCCAGACTTTTTTCTCCGGGGGGGGGGGGGGGGCACTTGAAATTTTCGGGGGGGAGGAGGGGCCGCAGAATTTCTTCAGGGGGGCGGACATTGTTAAAAGTATATATTTTGTATATAAATTATTTAAATTATAAAAATTTAATTTAAGAGATGCCTGGGAAAAACTCTGGTGATATATATATATGTGATATATATATGTGATATATATATGTGATATATATATATGTGTGTGTGTGTGTGTGTGTTTAAACATATATATATATATATATATATATATATATATATATATATATATATATATATATATATATATATATATATATATATATATATATATATATATATATGTGTGTGTGTGTAAATATATGTATATATATACATATATACATGCATGTACATATACATGCATATATATACATATATATATAGTGTTTGAAATCAAACATTCTAACGTATTTTTAAAAATATGTTTGTAATATTAATAATGAATACATTACATATTAAATACGTTGCCTACATTATTAGCCCATACCCCACGTCGCAAACGTCTGCCCCTCCCCTACCCTGGCGAGATTTGAGATTAGAATCCCAGACATAACTTCCTCTTACGTGAGACACACCTTCTTAGAGCGATTAATCTCCACACCGACATTTCCGTTTGATTGTTTCGTTGGGAAGGTCTGTGGTATTTCTCTAATGTTGTTTTTTTAAACTGCCAAATATGTAATTTTGTTTTGCTTTGTTGACAATGATAAGTTTTAATTAATAGGTAAAACTACTGGACTTAAATTAGCAAAGGTAAGAGATTATTTCACAAGACTGCACGGTCAAATGTTAAGTTTTAACGTTCAGTGATTTTTTTTTTTTTGAGGAGTAAGGGATTTGCGTAGAGGTTTCTCAGAAAGTACAGCCCGATGTCTAGAAATTATTGACTCCCGTATAAATTATGGATGTAATTCACACATTTTAGTGGGCAAAATACAATACTGATACTTTTAAGCGGCAAAATACAATACACTTTTAAGGGGCGAAATACAATACAGATACTTTTAAGGGGAAAAATACAATACAGATATTTTTAAGGGGAAAAATTCAATACAGATACTTTTAAGGGGAAAAATATAATACAGACACTTTTAAGGGGCAAAATACAATACAGTAATTTTGATCACGAAAAGACTAGACAGACATTTTGATCGGGAAAATACAAGACAGACATTTTGGAGGGGGAAATACATTAGAGACATAATTGGCATCGAAAAATACATCGCAATAATACCTTTATTTTGAAGGCAAACTGAACAATCCGGACGCTTTAACATTAGAGGCACGTTTGTGGCCGAGAACATTCGTAATATGTAAATTTAAATGTCAATGGCAAATGAACACATGAAAAAGATAATTTGTAAAAAAATGTTGCTGGTCAAAGTTCAATAGTTCACAGCATTACTCAAAAATATGCTCACTAGGAACACCTCAAAACTGTCTTTTCATTTAAAATGAACTATATCAAAATGTAGACTTGAACAGACAGGTTAAACGGAGTAAAACATGGGAAATAGAAAAACAGTCAAATTAATAAATGATTCAATTACACAAAGCTACTCGGAGGAATCAATTAAATGAATGTTTAACCATCTATTTGATATTTCTCTGTGGAATCGCATCAATTTTTCATTTTTATCCATAAAAAATGTCAAAATGTTGTGTACAATTCGAAATGGCAAACCATCATTAATAATGTAAAGAATGCAAGCTGTACTTTTTAGTATTATATATATAAAGTCTGAAACCAACAAATTAAAACTGAAGTTAACACTTTTTAAAATTCAAAAGCTTTAAAAAATATATTTTTAAACAGTGTTACATTTTTGAAGAATAATTATCATCATAATAACCAATATTCTTCAAATATAAACTTTTTAAACATGCATTTTTATTGGCTTTATTAAAATCGGATCATTGACAAAAATCTTTTATCTTAATGTTTTTTATTAGCCACTTATGTAGATGTATACTTATGCTTTAGATAGATTAATCTTAAACGCTATTAAATCGACATTTTCAAAAAGAAATCTAATATATAAAGCTCAATTCTGTATGTAACACATATGTTTGTCGTGGATCTTCGATGGATTTAAGTGTTAGATAATTTAAGTCCTTATGGTCTAAATTTATGAGTTAAAAAATTAATATTGAAAGTTTTGGGGAATAATTTTCATTTATGAAACTGAAAGTAATAATTTTCGGCATGTTCATTAAACACAAGTTTTAAAAAAATATCATCTTTTACAAAAATTCTATAAATGTCTTTATTTAGTCCTATAGCACTTACTTCCCTTTGATGAATTAGGAAAACACAATTACTTCCCTTTATAAAACCATTGCATTAGTGGTAAAGAATTTACTTTTTATTACTTTGTTTTGGTGTTGGGAAAAAAATAATTACATAATTAGCGGGGATTGATCAAGTGCAAATGTTGTAGGTATTTTACGGATAAGCTTGGAGTATTATAATTGTTCATTAAATTGAAACAGGCGCGTTCGTTTAAGTGAGTGCAAAAGACTATGGGGTACTATAGTCGTTTATTAAGCTAAAACAGGCGATTCCGCCCCGGGCTAGACTGTGAGCACTTTGCGTTTATGTTCGCGTTAGTGTTTTCTTTGTGTTTAGGTTGGGTTTGCGTTTGTGGTTGCAGTTTGATTTGGTTCGTTTTTGTTCTTTCTTTTTTCGTTTTAGTTTGTGTTTTTTTCTTTGGGTTTGTATTTGTGTTTTTGGTTGGTTTTGCGTTTGGATTTGGTTTGGTTTGTTTTCTTTTTTTTGTGTGTGTTGTTATTGGTTGGTATTGGTGTTTGTGGTTGTGGTTGGGTTTGTTGTTAGGTTTTTGTTTTCGTTTGCTTTTTTGTTTTTTTTTCTTTGTTTTTGTAATGGTGTTTGTGGTTGTGGTTGGGTTTGTTGTTAGGTTTTTGTTTGTATTTGTAATTGTGTTAGCGTTATGTTTGTGTTTTGTTGTTTTGGTTTTGGTTGGTTGTGGTTTGGGTGGGCAATGCCGGGTTTATGATGATTACTAAACACACAGGTAATGGTCTTTAACAGAAAGATTTTTCACAGAAGCCAGAGCAGGGCCTGGCCGGGACGTCTAGTATAGTATATTTCGTGATCCACTTTTTCAAACATATACTTAAACAAAATCAGCCCAAATCGTAATACAGTAAATAAGTTCGGGAATAAAAGCATACGCTGAACGTGCAATATTAAACATACAGTGTTATTTTATCGCCACATTGTTACATATCTTATCTATGACCAGAGGCGTAGCGAGGGCTGGCCGGGGGTGCAGAACGCACCGGATGACACCATTTAGAGGGGGGGTGACACCAAGGCAAAAAATAATGCAAAATGTACAGAAGAAAAATGCTTTTTGCCAGTTCCATTAATTATTAATTAAAGTTAAACAGTCTTTTAAGTACAAATCTACAATTATTACAACGTGCTACCTATAGAGAAAACAATTTTACATCCAAATGTATTATTAACAGACTATAGATAAACATAATTACTATTAAGTCTGCAGTGATTAAAGTTTATACACATACATACATACATACATACATACATACATACATACATACATACATACATACATACACACACACACACACACACACACACACATATATATATATATATATATATATATATATATATATATATATATATATATATATATATATATATATATATATATATATATATATATATAGTTTCACGGGGTAGGGGGGTGACACCACGAAGTGCCGCACCGGGTGACACCCGACCTAGCGACGGCACTGCCGATGACGTTGAAAGAAAACTGTATGTGTAATATTGCTACTGTATGTAATGTATCTATTCATTTTAAGAACGCCTTACATGGAGTTTTTACACCTTTCTTTGTCAACCCTGTATAAAGATGTATAAAGGACTGAGCCTCGAATATAAAAAAAACCCAACTCCAGTAAGATAAATAATACGTGGAGGAAAAACTGGTATAAGCTGCATGTCTTCTTTTGATAACCATTTTTTAGGACTAGAATTTCAGCCTAGTTAAGTTCTAGTAGTTAGCAGTTTCGCGAGCTAATCAAATTCAAATATGCGCATGCATGCGCCCCAGTGATTTTCTGCAGCCAAAAATGAAACTGTCTACAGGTGTCTCGTTACAAGTACGTCTTTCACACGTCTTTGATAACCTGGACCAATGCAAGGATCAGAAAAAAAAAATTCTTGAAAAAAAAATGAAAAAATAAAAAGACTACATCTTAAGTATTGTATTCTACGAGCTGACCCGCGACGTAGCATACGCCGCTATTTATTTTAATTCCTATTTTTCAGTAATTCATAATTTGTGAATTCGACACTACCAATGCTGTGACTGAAAATATTTTGCTTTAAAACTCTATCAGTAGCTAGCGAAGGACGATTATCCTCACCCTCACTTTCCACTCCCCCCCCCCCCCCGTTTAAACTATCTGCCCGAAATAGCGTCACTACGATTATAAAAATTCGGGGTGAACCTTAGTGTTGGTCTGAAAACCGCAAATGTATATTCATAATTTGCCCATTGTGGCAATTTACGTTTACAAAAAAACAATCATCTTGAAATAACGCTTAAAATTACTCTTCAGCGAAACCTTTTACACGCTCGCAGTTATTGAACCCTCTTATGTTAACAACTGTGTCAACTACCCGCTTTACATACATGCTAGTCATGTGAAAGGTAATATTATTTCACTCGCGACAGGGATTACTTTTCTTTATTAAATAAACTTTTTTCTCTCGCAACAACACCTCCATAACACTGGCGGTTACAAAAATGTCTGAATAAACTAACACTGCTTAAAATTAATGTTCTTTTTCGTATTGTAAAATAGGTGACCATATTTTTTGTATGTGATACTCACTGATACTGTCGTTTCATTCATTTTCCGATCTTTCATCCTGAGTTTTTAAAAGATATTTTTAAAAACTTCCTTGAGTGTGGGCACTTGAAACTGAGGGGGCGGAGGTGGATCGGGGAGAGAGTGAACACCAGTGTTTCTTTTAGACTTTTTTCTCCGGGGGAGGGGGGGGGGGGAACATATTTTTTTCGGAGGGGGGGGGACTTATTATTTTCGGAAGGGGGAGGGCGAACATTGGAAAATATATTTTTCTATATAAATTCCATTTTGTTCGGGGGGGGGGGGGGGGCGCGGGATGGTAGACTTTCTTCGTGGGGGAGGGGGGATGCCTCGAAGAAACTCTGGTGAATACTGGTAAAAGTATATGTGTCGGGTGCGTGCTCATAAACTCAATAATTTAAAAAAAATCAGAATGTGGGTTAATTGGTAAATAAAACTAAAACGGAAGGAAAAAAATTAATTAAACATTTTACTCTTTAATTTTGCAGTCACAGTCAAGAGTCAGCCATGCTGAGAAATCCATGTCGTAAAAAAAATCTTTGCGTCAGCGTCGTGCTTGCAGGCGTCAGATCAAAATACAAATCAGTGGCCGCCATTACAGCAGTTGTCATGACTCTGACTTTTGCTCAGCTGAGCCTTCACGTCGAGAGACTAGCTCGAGCAGAGCGCGGGCTCCACGACATGCAATCGTCTGCCGAGCCAGCAGTTGGACGAAATGACAATATGAACAAGAGCATCGACACAAAGAAGAGCTTTACCTTCACAAGAGTTCACAGGTTGATCGTGATTTTATGTGTGTTTACAATTTTAAAGTACGAGTTGTGTACTCTGTTTACTGCTTGTCTATCTGTGTTGGGTTGTTGGGTAATTTACCTTAACTTTCAGACATTTATCTCCGAAGGGGCACTTGAAAATTTTTATCGTGGAAAAGCACACTTAAAATAAATAGGGGGAGCGGAAAGGTTACAAAATATCTTTTCTATCTAAATGATTTTTTTTATTTATCCAGGAAGTAGGGTGGTTTCCATTAAGCGTTATATTTTATTACACCACTCCCCTCTTTGATATATATGGCGTACTCATTACTTCTGTTATGACCGTTGTCTGTAATAACATGCCTAGGTTAAAATTATCTCAATTAATTAAAACAAACGGCACGTTTTAAATGTCGGGTAAGGTTTGTTTCTACAGCTTCAGTGTTAGGTCCGAATGTGTTATCTCAGTTCACTTTAATGTTAATTTTTTAAATGTTATAATTTTTTAAAATCAGGGGCACAACTAGGGCAGTGTAGAGGGGGGTCGTCCGCCCCTGGTGGTACTTTTAAGGGGGGGGGGGGATGCTCCAGTATGAAAAAAAATCTAAATCTATAATAGGCCACGTTCGCACTTCTCTCTCTCTCTCTCTGTCCGCAAAATATTTTCGCCGGACATCACATCAGAATCTACAGCGATATATCGAGAACTTTATACGGACTTTTGTTGAAAATAATATGTTAGATGTTTTAAATGTATAACCACAATTTTATTTAAAGAAGAAAAATAAAAAATAAAGGCATATTCGAATATAGAGAAACAGTATTATTTATGCAACCGGAAAAGTGTATAAACTTGGGACAAGAACGCATGTAACAATGACGTCGCTTATTGTTTACACTAAAACACTAAAACAAGAGCACGAAACTGATGACGTCATCTTCCGAGTTTAGAATTTTAAAAATGAACTATTTCATTCACATATGATTTAGAGCTATGTACGCTATGAAATGTAGACTACACAATACGATATTCTCGGCCTAAACTTAAAAAAAATATTTTATCTATTTGGATTCTAGATCTCGAGATTCTAGATCTAGACTAGATCTAAATCTACGCAAAAACTACACTTAGACGCTACGTCGCTAAGATCTATTCTAGATCTAGATTTAGACTCTATCTACTGTAGAATCTATTCCAAAAATAAATTTCTATAATAAACTTTTTCAGGACTTAAATATTTTATAGAAATCTTTGTTGTTTAGCATTGAAACTGGCTAATTATGGGTAAAAAAATAATTTGAAAAAAATAGGCATATTCGCGTAAGTTATTTTTTTAAAACTTTTCTTTTATTCTCCATATTTTAAAAGGTACCTAATTAGCTGAGATAATAGTATACTTGATACCACACAGGTGGTGCTGGATCGGGACACACCAAGTCAAACCTAATTTTTTTTTGTATGTGAATCTTCCTATTTTAGACTATAAAGAAAGGAACTACTTTGGAAATCTTTGTTTATCTATGCAATTTGCTAATCTCTATAATATATGAAGCAAAGTTGTCGGGTGCCCGACATCGGGCACTTCCCGGCGCCGCAGGCGCTTCAAATTTGGCAGGATCTTGCCTTGGGGCGACAGAACACGGGGGCCGGTGCCGGTTGGTCTAAAGGTCTACGATGAGGGGGTCAAAACAGACCTCGACTGACCGGCGCCTTATATGAGCTATAAATCAAAAAAATTGTCCACGTAGGAACCTCTTCATAACTCCTGAGGTCGTAGACCGACCCTCGAGCGAATTAATTAAGCATTCAAATTTTCAATGTTTTTGAAAGCCTAAGCGAAGCTGGGAAGCATGCCTAGTATTAGAGAACAAGCAATTTTTTTAACAGCTTTTTAAAGGTACATATGCATATGTGTTTCCATAAAAAAATTGGTGGGAAAATCTTGGTGACTAATAAACGGCGGCCATCTTGAAAAATTAACCCTTTTGTAGTATTTCCACCATTTATAAAATATTATAAAATATTATTTTATAAATGAGTGTTTAAAAAGGTTTTTTTTTTTTTTTACCGGAGCCTACCCACTTGATAAATAACTATTAGAAAGTGGCGTTTAACTTCAATTAAGTAGTAGCGACCAACTAGAGAGACGCGTCTGGTCAAGTATTACGTTGTAAGGGGTGAAAAATATGGCTCAACACATTCATGGCCATCGGATAGGAGGGGTGGCGTTAGAAGCAAGTTTCTTAAAATTAAACTTGTAACATTTGACGATATGGATCTATCAGAGGCGTATCCAGGTTTTCGTTGTAGGGGGAGCGAAAAAAACAAAAAAAAAGGCGCCGAATTTTTAACACGTTCTATATATATATATATATATATATATATATATATATATATATATATATATATATATATATATATATATATATATATATATATATATATATATATATATATATAGATCTATATATAATTACTAGCTGTATGTAATTACTTCGCTATGATGTAAAATAAATTGAAAGTAGCACTCTGAAGAAATAAGAAAAAACACACAATGTAGGCCGACAAAACAAAAATTGTATCAATCTAAACAAAAACAAAAAAATATACACACACTACAACCAAAAACAACGATCGTAACACAATCTGTTTTGTAATTCTTGTAAAAAAATTCTTACATAATAATTCCTGGGAAATTATTTAAGACAAGTGAAATAGGGGAAATAATCACTCTCTTAATATAAATATGTATGTATCTACACATTTAATTATATAAAATGTCAAAACAAATAAATAATTACTTGAGAATATAATGAAATTGTTTAACACTATTCGTGTTTACAAAATGGGTTTGTCTATAATCATAATTTAATATATCGTTATCATAAATGCTAAAGTATTACAGCATAGTGAAAGTTTTTAAAATCAGAGTTGGTATAAAATCACGCTTTTCGATGTACCAAGGAAACATTTGGAATAACAGCCTACATTTAACTAAATATCGGTCTTTTAGATCGATCATATATTTTTAATTAACTACTGCTTCTTTGTGTTCTTTAAAGATCATTTTTGACATAGTGATAGGTATGGGTTAGATCACTGTATTGATCACACACATTTTTACTGGTAATTGCAAAAACAATATTCAAAAAGTTTTACGTTTAAAAAGCTAATTTTCTGGCGGCATGGTACTTGGGTACATCATTACGCGTTTTTCTACATGTACTTAACAGATCAGTTCGGGGTGGGTTGGGGGGGGGGGGGTCAACTTCATTCACCACTGTCCGGTCACTTTAGGTCAATTATCCAACCCAGTGTATACCTAGATGTGACATAAAAAGCTAATTTTCTGGCGGCATGGTACTTGGGTACATCATTACGCGTTTTTCTACATGTACTTAACAGATCAGTTCGGGGTGGGTTGGGAGGGGGGTCAACTTCATTCACCACTGTCCGGTCACTTTAGGTCAATTATCCAACCCAGTGTATACCTAGATGTGACATAAATGTCGCTCTACACAATTGTGGTGGTGAGGTGGGGGGGGGGGGGGTGGGGAGATAACCAACTCAGAGTGAACATAGCGTCAGTTTTTAGATGGCTGTTCTAAACATACATCTAAATTACACACATATATATATTTAGGAAATAGATTTAAATAAGTAGCAGTGGTATTATGACAATATTTTTTTTACCGAGGGGTCCATGGGGGAGGGGGGGTTGTAACTGTTTCATATAATTTGTAACCGCAATCACTATCGTCCAAACTGTAAGAATACTACTACTTCATCATGCTGACGTTGTTGAATTTGTTAAAATTTCCCCACCACTACGCAGTTTGCTCATAAGTAAATTTAAATAGAGGTGCCACATCAGTTGTATTTGTTTCTGTATTGTAATTTTTTTTAAATTAATCACACGATTCAAACTGTATATATAAAGTAATTATGTGTGAAGTTTTATGTATAACATTTTCTAATTCAATTATTCGTAAGCAAATACATTATACAGTTGCCTTAAATTTAACACCCCTCTTGCCAAGTGGTACTACTCGAGAGGATTTTTAAACTTTGCAATGCATCGAAATGGTTATTTTTAGAATGGCAAACTGATGCAGCTGTTAATATACGTTGTAAACGTAGACACTACTAGACTAGTACAATAATGTTTAATTGCTGCATGAAAAGAAATCTTGTGATTTACATAGATGTGCCGACCAAAATCTATTTTTTTAACAAATATCACTGTTTAAAACTTGGAGTTTAAAAAGTTTCCAAAAAGGCGCCACTTTGCTGAAAATGGCCAGAGGGGGAGCGGCCGCTCCCCCTGCTCCCCCCCTGCGTACGCTACTGGGATCTATGTACAAATATGATAAAATAATAAAACGGGCTACAATTGCGTAATCTTATTTAAAATGAAAGCATTACTTTGCAAAGAGAAGTGACGATTTGCTTAGAAAATCTAGTAGAAATTTTTTTTTAAATAATGAATTAAAATATTTTAATTTGTGTTCATTATTTTTCTATTTTGCAGTAGGTTAACACGGGGCAAATCCATACCTTTTTTTTTAAAAATCTTGCATAAGCACGACATCCTTATTTTTTAAGATGTATGCTTGCACACGTTATATTTATATGATTGTAAAGAAATACATAGATAATTCCCCAAAACAAAACAGTTTTTTAATTTAAAAAAAACAATAAGAGTGGGGCCATTCCACACGTTACAGTAATAATGTTGTTATCAATAACAAAAATGATTAAGCTAACTTAAAAAATCAATAAATAGTTGACAGCATTTGAAAAAAAAAAGTAAAATATCCCCCCCCCCCCCAAAAAAAAAAGTCTACCACCGCCCCCCCCCCCCCCCCCCCCGAACGAGATGGAATTTATATAGCAAACATATATTTTTATTAGTGTCCACCACCCCCTCCACCGGAAAATATTGACCGCCCCCCTCCCCGAAAATATCAAGTGCCCCCCCCCCCACCCCGGAGAAAAAAAGTCTGGAAGAAACACTGCCAGGAGATGAACTAGGAAATGATTTACTTTTATGCAAATTAATTCAGTTTTAAAAAAAAGATCATTCATTATATAGGGTGTGGAATTACCCCGGGTTACCCCAGTGCCACCTACAGTTTGTGTTTTTTCTGTGAATTTAACCAATAAATCATGTTTCTAACTTTTGGTCTCTTATCTGTAGACCTGGAACAAACACACAGAAACTTCCAAGACTTGAAGAAAACTTCCAGCCAATCAACAAGCACGAAGCATGGGTCTATTCAGTTTTTTACGACAAACTTAATGAGATAACATTCCTCCGTGTTATGGGTATTGAAAACAATCAAACAAACAACCTTATATTCTGCCTTGTGAAAGACAGCGGTTCAAATGTTATTATAAGCGGGAAAAGGACAGTGTTGCCAGATACACATTTTAAAAAGTAGGCCTAAATATGATTTTAAAAATATAGTCCGGATGGGGTGGGGGTTGCCATTTTGTGACGATGTGTGACAAGGGGGATGGAATGGGGAGGGGATTTCAGAAAGTGTTAGAATTTTTTTTAGAAAATAAACTTTAGCCTTTATTTCGCGGTTTTAAAAAGACTGGGTTTTTTTTTAAAATTATAATAGAAATCGACTCAAAAAAGTTATAAATTTAAAAAGTTGATTTTTTAAAATTTTTTTTTACCTTGTTTGTTACAGGTTTCGAAGTGTGAATTACGAATGCAGGTTGAGGGACGGACAACGCCCCCAGTATGTATCGATTGTGTTTGACCCATCAGCAGCCGCAACCAATCAGATGCCAGTCCAGTACCCGGCACCTAAAACCAAAAATTTCACCGTTTGCTATTCCATTTTGTTCAACTTTAAGAGTGCCTCGCAGTTGATCCAGAACATAGAGTTCAACAAGTTCATCGGCGTTCAACATTTCCATGTTTATAATTTTAGCGTCAGCGATTCGGCGGATGTGGTATTACGTCACTACCAAAGTCAGGGTGTCCTGACGGTGCACCAGTGGTCTCTGCCAAGTCTGGAGATCTGGTACTACGCGCAAGTTCTGGCTATCAACGACTGCGTCTACCGGAACAGGAACGTCTCGAAATACGTCATCATTCAAGACACGGATGAATTCATCATCCCGATACGTCATAACAGTCTAAGTGACGTCGTGGCCATCGTGGAAGAAAATTTTCAGAAAACGAGTATTAATTCGGCGAAATCCACTGGAAAAGGGAAAGAAACTTTAGGCTCCATTACATTTGAAACATCCAACTACTACAGCATGGCGTCGCCTCCCGTTTGGGAAACGATAAAGCAAAACTTCTCAATTTCAAAGAAAGAAGAGGCCTCGTTTAGAAAATATCAGGTCCTTCCATTCCTTCATCTACGACGCATCAACTCCACCTTTAAGTATTTAGGACGTTCGAAGACCATGGTCAGGCCGGAACGGATACTGCATGCCGGGATACACTTCACGCGCGAGCACCGTGACAATGCTACTCACGCGCAGGTTGGCGCGGATTTGGTACTCTTGCATCACTTCCGGTATAATCCTAACCCGTGTGTTCTAGACACGTCAGCCATGAGGTTTAAAGATCTTGTGTTTCCAAAAATGCTTGAAAAGTTTTTTGCTCTGATTGGCTAAAATATTATTAGGATCAGTGGCGTATATATTTTGCTATTTTTTGCCTTGGTGTCACCCCCCTAAATGGTGTCACCCGGTGCGGTCAGCACCCCCCGCCCCCCCCCCCCCTCGCTACGCCCCTGATTAGGATTAAGCTCTATGTTGAAAACATAACAATTCACTCTATTCATTATTAAAATATTATTGACATAAGTACACTATTGACATAAGGGTCGTCTACAGATAAGGTTAAACTATTTTAGTCGAAATTTCCGCCAACCCCCCTCTATAGTACATGTCAAAAACACAGAGCCCAACCGACAAAATACGATAATCTGTTCAAGATAATAATATATATTAGTCCCAGTTGGGGTGGGTGTGTGATCCGAACTGGGTGACGTTATGTGGGGAGTGACACCAAAGCGAAAAATTGTGAAATTTGCTGATAAAATAATGTTGTATCCAGTTTTAAAAATAAAATATTAGAGGAAATGGAATTTTATTTAGAGAGGTGGGGTGGCACTCTGTTTAGTGACGCCACTGTTTTTTCTCTCTCTCTCTCTGTCTCTCTCTGTCTCTCTCTCTCTCTCTATATATATATATATATCTTAGGGGTCGTCCATAAATGACGTCACACTCGTAAGGGGGAGAGGGTCCGTAATTTTGTGACGGTGTGTGATGAGGGGGAGGGGGGGGGTTCAGATGTGAGCGACGTCACACTTTTGCTTTATAAACATAAAACAAGTTAATAAAAAGTCTAGTGACAATTTAAGCGCAATTTCCTTATGTTATCTAAAAATAAATAGTGATCACAAAAATGCGGACGTGTAGGGGGTAATAGAAAAAATATTTATTAACGAGATTTTTAAAAAATCGAGATAAATCATATATTCAGCAAATAAATAATGCAACACAAGTAGTTTTAATAATTCAAAACAAAATAGAAACCAGTATGGAAATTGCGCTAAAAAAAAGACAACTACATTAACCTATATCAACGGAAATAGTTTTATTTTAACGAGTAGGCCTACAAGATGCTCATTTTAAACATCATCCTAGGCCTACATGATGCTCAATTTAAAATATATTTTAAAAAAATTTGTGACCGAACGAAAGGATATTTTTGAAAACTTTCTTCGGCAATATTGTTCTAAATTATGGCAGCAATCGATTGGTAAATGTTTCAAGTCGCTAAGTGGTCTGGTTGCCGAGATATGGGCCAAATACTGCATTTTTCGAGGTGTTTTTTTTGGCTTTTCCGGGAAATCCAGGAAGGAATTCCGGGATTTTTTTTTAGCCTTTGTTCATCCTCGGAACCGTAATTTTGTGACGATGTGTGATGAGGGGGAAGGGGGGGGGGGGGGTTCAGATAATGCGACGTCACACTTTTGCATTATAAAAAAGAAATGTTAGAAAACTAATTTTAGACGTTATTTTGCGTTTTATCAAACTGTTTTAATAAATTGTACTAGGAATTTATTAAAATACTATATTTTGACAGAGTTCAGACAAGATTTAAGAAAAATATTGATGTTTTAAAAAAAATTCAACTGCAATTTTGAGGGGGTTTTAGGCTGAAGTGTGACGTCATTTTAGGGGGGGGTGGTCTGGCTTTTTGTGACGACGTGTGACGGAAGGGAGGAGGGAGGGGGGGGGGGAGGTAAAAATCGTCAAAAAAGCGTGACGTCATTTATAGATGACCCCTTACTACACACATACATTACCCTTCTCAAGTCAACATATAACTAAAACATCCGATATTGTTTGCTCTAAAAGTATACAAAATAAATGCTTTAACACTGCTTGATCCCCCCCTCCCCCCCCCCCCCACGTAATCGCAAAACGCATCATTCCATTATGTTTATTTATTTTTAAAAATTATGAATGTGAAATTGTTTTAATATAACAGTCTTTGTTCCTTTAATTACCATAAGTTTTTTTTTTTCAAATTTTCAACTTTCTTTCAAGTGAGTATAAGTGTACTTGGATTCTACAATCAATGCCTAGAAAAGAGCAAGCGATCTGTCTCTTTTATTTTTACTATTGTAGAGAGTGCTGTGATTCGATAAGAAAAATAATATGTATCTTGATGAAAAAATAAAATTACAATAATAATATTCAAGATAATGTTTTTTTTTTTTTTTTTTTTTTTTTTTTTTTTTTTTTTTTTTTTGCTTTAAATAAAAATTAAATTAAAAAAAAATACAATTTATCACTTTAAATAATGTAGATAAGTTTGTTCAAGCACTTGTCTTTATCATACAATATGTAAATGTATTAAAAATTGACACGCAATTTAAAAATGCTTTTTCGTGTGTGTGTGTTAGTGAATGTGTGTGTGGAGGGGGGGGGGGCGTATACACAATTAAATAAAAATTATGTCTTCTCTATGAAGATTTTTAGACTGAGAAGTATTCATTGAATATTAGTTTAGTCTCAATATTATACAAGTTATTCGAACCATGGATTCTTAAAACACTGCAGTCGTGTTAAAAAAAATTAGGTCTGTGGCGATGTTTTCATGTATATTTATGTTATTTCTTCCTTCGCCAATTTATATTAATAAAAAGACAAGCAGCGACAGCGGGTGGTCGTGATAAAAAAAAGGTGCGAGACTAGACAACGGGATGCGAGACCTACAATCGGGGTTTTGAGATGCCTGAAAGAAACTCTGATTATATTAATTTTTCACGACGAAGCTATAGCCTGCTGTCCTGCTGTGTTTCGTAAATGCGCTAATAAACATATAAAACTGATAAACTTACAATCACGAATTTAAGTTATTGAAATGATGAACAGATACGATGTAACTAATGTAAACCTAGACTCGAGAGTTCACGATGACAAACGGTACATCTTGTCAGAGGCGTAGCGAGGGGGGGGGGGCGACATATGTCCCCGGGCGCCGATCTTAGGGGGCGCCAAAATGGGTTGGAAAAACAAATTGAAAGTTTGAGGGGGGGGGGGGAGGTCCAAATTGAAAGTTTGAGGGGGGTGTGCAAATCGAAAGTTTGTCCCCGGGCGCCGGGAAGGGTCGCTACGCCTCTGCATCCTGTATGTAAGCTGGAACGATGCTATAGAGGGCTAAATTTTGGGGCATTAAATCGAGTGTTTTTAGCGGACCCACCATTTGAAAATTCATAAGAAATTAGTTTCTGTGATGGATTGGAAACACGGACGAGAAGCCACATTGATTGTTAACAATACTTTATTCACACCGTGAGGAAAGCGAGGGAGGGCGGAAGTCACGAGACACTTATATACATAAACATGTAAGGGACATCACTCAAGATAATAGTATAAATATAATACTAATACAGAAGAGTGAGTTCCCTTGACTTCACAAGTCTCACTATATTACAGTTTCAAGACCTGCACTTACATTTTTTAACTGAGTACCCCAAAATATAATAGAAGATTATGAATTCATTGTTTATTTGACTTAAAATGTTATATATTATGAATTGGGGAAATCCTACGAAGAGGTTAATTTTTCAAGATGGTCGCTTTGTCATAGTTATCAAATTTTTTTTTTTACCAATTTGTTTTAGTGGAAATTCATATTCGGATGAACCTTAATAAAACTGTAGAGAAAAAAAAATGTTTGCTCTCTAGTATTAAAGAATTTTTTTTTCCGAACCTGCCCCCTTCTCCTAAATATTCTATGTATCACACCTACATATGAAAAAACCAATTTCGTATTCATTCTAAAATTTCTAATAGCGGTTATTTTCTTGAAATTCGATAAATTCAAAAACTCTAATCACCTTTGGGGGGAGGAGATATTATATTATATTATTTTTGTTATTATTTGTTGTTGTTGACGATTTGCACTGTGGTTAAAGGAGGTGGTAGAGGAAAGTGTGACGTTTTAGATATTATAGATAAGTTGTAAAAATCGGCCAAGCTGCGCAACACCAGAAGGTGGATTCAGAGTGTGTTGTAGGATGACTTACTCTCTGCTTCTTATGGACATAGAGCCTCTACCATTTCCTTCCATTTCATCCGATCCCCGGCTATAAATTTTGCCGTCTCAATGACATAACGCGTATTTAGTTTTTAATTATAAAGTTAGCAGTTAGACAAGTGGGACCAATGTGGGATTTAAAATAAAGTTGGGATTTGCGCTGTAATTTAAGTATCAGGATAGCAAAGCTACATATTATTTCAGGAATTTTGGATTTCTACAGAACCCGTGTCAATTTATTCGATGATTATAAAAAAAATCAGATCCCTAATAATTAAAACTAGAGGTCTAGGAAAAACCCCTAGTGTTTTTAGTTTTTAGTTTTCGTTTTTTACGTAGATCTATTTTGTATTGTAAAGATGACAGGTTGCATTTTTATATTCATGTTGAAGTATAAGTCTAGTTTTATTGAGAAATATACAATATAACAGAATATAGATCCAACATTGGTAGTTAATTATATCCCTTTCAATAGATGGATATATTTAACAATAAAATATATAATTTCTTTATACGATTTAATTATCTAAAACTTGTAGTTATATTTATATCACAAAGACCTTCAAAAATGTTTGTATCTGGCAAACTCAACTTTCGCGTTTTCTGGAAGTCGCTCTTCATCATAACATTTGTTAGATTTATTTAATGTGCAGTAACACATGAAAGATATCTTACCCATTTACACGCTGGGTTTAGTAAATTAATCAACATTAAATTGTAAGCTTGCTTAAAATTTATACAAAGTTATTGTGATAAACAGAAAAATGTGTAAAAAATGTTTTTGTCTAATTAATATAAAAATCCCCCAAATAAACTTCAGAATTTAAAGATGTCGAGACTGTTCCTTACTTTCTTAAACTTTCTTTGTAGTTCCCTGGGGTCTCCCATGTGATTTTTTAGTCTTTTTTAATTTACTTGTTAAACTTTATTAAAAGCCTATTTCATTTTAGCATTTCTTTGTCACCTACTTTGTTTCATGACAATTCATTTAGAATTTTAGATCTACCTGTCATTATCACATCAAATCTTTATTTCACATTGACTGTGTCACTGTCACACATGAGTGTGTGTAATGTAGGCCAATGTGTTATTCATATTGCTGTGTTTTAGTTACAGTTACACTAGAGTCTAGAGAGTCCTAATCTAGTTCAATCAGTGTAGGATGGGTAAATTAAGTGGTAATTTGTGCGACGTAGGCCTACCTGAAGAATTACACAAATTACAGGTTTTTACCGAAACACAATTTGCTAGACATTTTATTTTTATTGTATGGTCTTTTCAAAAGACCTTTTTTTTTTGCAGTGTGCAAGATAAGTGTTAACTAAACTAGTAGACCTAGAAATCTTGATCAATCACAAGTGTTATGTTTTTAAAACATTGTCACCTGCAGGATTGCCATTCACATTCTTTGAGTGGGTGGGGAAAAATCGGGGGGGGGGGGGGGGGTGGGGGGTCACATTGGTGACTGTATTGTGTAATCATAAATAATCATGTAGCCTGAGCCCCAAATTTTGAAATAAGAATTTTTCAAATTTTAGATGTGATTTAATCATGATCTAGAAGGGGCTAACTACATAGGCCCCTATGGCCTAAAGTTTAAAAAAATGTTTTTAAGTTTAAATATAGCCTAGAAACAGAAGTTAAAACTAACTTTAGTGAGTGTATAAAGAAACTATACTAGGCCTATAGCATTAGCATATCATGAACAAAGCTCTTTGACATTGTCGGTGAGGTCATTTGTATTTTTCCCCAAACCAAACAATACAGAAAACCTACGTTAAGGTGGTCATTGTGAGCTCACATATTAAAATTTAGATCTAGGTTTACTACTTTGCATGCAAGATTAGAGTTAAAGATGTGGGCCTCTTTAGATGAAGCATTGGCCTACATTCTTTTTTTTTTTTTTTTTTTTTTATTAAAAAATCATATGGTTACCTTATATGAAGTCAAATGTGATACAAAATTTTTTTGCCCTCAACTATCATCACCAGTGTGATTTCACATTCAATTATTTGCCAGAAATTCAATAGCTGTTAATTAGGCTCTATATCCAATAGGCCTACTAAAATAATATAAGTCTGCTAATAGACCCAGTTAATATAAGATCCTTAATGTCAGCTTTCTTTTAAGCCTTTGAAATAATATTCATACAATTAGTATCTAAATTTACTTTGCCCAAATATTTTTGTTGTAATATCTTTATTTCCACAGTAAACAAGCTTCATATGGAACATCGGGCCCGTAAACGCATACGTGAAGCAAAGTCAAAAGCAAGACCAGGTGATTCATAAATATATAGCTAAATCAAAATCTTAAATATTTAGGCTATATTATATTTTTGGAATTAATTTTTACTTGGTTTCTCTCCTCATTTCACAGAATTATATAAAGAAGTAAATGGCTGGTATGCACATAACTATGTAGAAACTTTTGATCTGCGCAAGGAAACTGTCTTAGACAATGTTGAAAGAGTTGATGCCACAGATATAACAGTAGCGGAATTTCAGGAAAAATTTGAGAAAACCTACACACCTGTTGTTCTTACAAACTGTCAAAAAGACTGGGCAGCCACTTATAAATGGAACCCACGAGTATGTCTCTCCTTGTGCTGTTGTTTCATTTAGTTATTTTAACTTAATCATCCAAGTAGGAAATTTTATATATTAATCCTATTAATGGGTATGTTAGCAATATTTATATTGACATCGGTCTCTATTAAAATGTTGGCAAGATGTATTTTACACTAAGTCTTCTCTGAAGAAAAACCGCTGCATTATCTTGTCAGTGTTTTTATAAAAACTATTCTATTTTTATATGATTCAATTTTTAAGTAACCTTATGAATTTATCTTTGACCAATCTTTTCTAAGCGATTGGCTAAAAAATACAGAAATCAGCGATTCAAGTGTGGTGAGGATGACAATGGATATTCAGTAAAGATCAAATTAAAATATTTTGAGGAATACATGAGGCACAACAAGGATGACAGTCCTCTGTATATATTTGACAGCAACTACGGAGAGGTTTGTCCCTAGTTCTATAATTATATGTAGTGCAATATTTTTTTAACTTAGAAGTAGATAATTAGATATAAAAAACTGGGGCTTACAGGTGTACATGTTAATTTTAGTTGTTTTATCTTTTAAGAATTATTAAGTTTATACCTAGTGCTAAGTTTGAGACGTCATTGATGACTATTAAAAACTGGCATAATATAATTGAAGTTTTTTATATATATAAAGCGATAAGTCAGTTTTTTAAAACTAGGGGTAGGATATCAATTGTTACAATGTTGTCTTTGACCAAAAAAAATTAGAATCTGGATGGAAGTATTTTTTGAACAAATCCCCACTTCTAGGATTTTGTTATCCTTGCATTGCAAAATATTTTAACAAATTTTATGCTGTTAATATTCTTACAAACTTTTTAAAAAAGTTATCGCAATCTATTTTCAGCATCCGAAGCGTAGAAAACTTTTAGAAGATTATGAAGTGCCAACATTTTTCAGGGATGATTTATTTAAATATGCTGGTGAACAGAGACGTCCTCCTTACAGGTGGGTTCTTTGAAGATTCACTCCAACAATTTGAAATTATTTTTTTTAGACATTAGTGACTTGGATTGTTTATTAATTTTGAAAAAGTTTTCTTTATGAAGGAACTAAAGGTGATTATTTTTTGTACTTATAGATGGTTTGTTATGGGTCCAGCAAGGTCAGGAACAGGTATTCACATTGACCCCCTTGGGACTAGCGCATGGAACGCTTTAGTGATGGGACACAAAAGGTATTTTGTTGGAAAAAAAGTTGTAATTTTTTTCCCCTAAATATTTAAGCAGAGACATTGTAATTATATTCTAGTTCTTGAGGAAATTTAGTACCTGCGCTATATTTCATTTTCTCCACTATTTTCTTACAAACACATTTTAACCCTAACACCAGAACTCACAGCCATTAGTTCTAACAGTGTCTATCAGCCGAGTAGCAATTCACTTTGGTGTTTCCTTACCAGCAAATCCACAAAGTAGATTTCTTTTGTTTAGGTGGTGTCTGCTGCCAACCAACACACCTCGTGAACTCCTGAAAGTGACGTCAGAAATAGGGGGTAGACAGAAAGACGAGGCTATCACCTGGTTCACCCATGTGTACCCAAAGATTAAAAGTCCTTCGTGGCCAAAAGAATACAAGCCGGTATGTTTTATCACTGGTGATTGTCTTATACTTTGTTCAATGTTTTTAGAGTACTATCAAAAAATGTTGTATATGGCCTTTTTTACTTGGTTGCATTAACATTATTTTATTCCAGTTAAGGATATGAGACGATCATATTTTTAGGTGCTATTTTCCTGGTAGATTTTTTTTTTTATATTAGCAAAATATTGTTTATTTGTGAATTATAATGCAAACAAAATTATTGTAATATAATACTAAACAGTGTTGACTAAATTATTAGTTATTTACTTGTTAGTTTAGTCTGGGAATCTGACAAGATTATTTTTTCTATACTTGCTAGATATTACGTATTACTGTAAGTGCCATTCCTATTGTCCTAGTTATCCACTATTTCTGATGATAGCAGAAAATATACAATTCAAATAAGTTAGGGTGCTCTTGGTTATCAGTTGTGAAAATTTGATATGTGGAAGGTTAATAACTGATTTATAGATTCTGATTTATCTGTACTATCATTCTTGTAAGTTATTAAGTTTATACTATATATTCGTATGTCTTTTTAGCTTGAGATTCTCCAAAAACCTGGTGAAACTGTGTTTGTTCCTGGGGGCTGGTGGCATGTGGTCATCAACCTTGATGACACAATAGCTGTTACACAGAACTTCTGCAGTGTTATCAACTTTCCTATTGTATGGCACAAAACTGTACGTGGCAGACCAAAGTTGTCCAAAAAGTGGATCAGGGCATTGAGGGTAAGTTTACCTAGCATTTGACATTCATTTTAAGCTGGGATATGGACATTCATATAGTGTAAATATAATATTCAGGGAATTTTAAAAGGTCTGAATATGTGTTGTTTGTATTGATAGGCCATTTTTGACATATCCCTTATGAATTTAGCATTTCCTTATATCACCACCCCCTATATTTTGTAACATTTTTAGGATTCTTTGGCTGACACAATCTTTGACATTTAGTTCTATAAATATGTAATTTTGAAATAAATTATAAATAAATGGATCCCATAATTTTATACAAAGTTGCTTGTTACATCTTTGTATGGCATAACCTAAGTATATTCTGTTAAAAAGAAAAATTCAATTACCCTATCTTTATAAATAACAAGTTTGACCCACACAAAAGAAAATCAAATGTAGTTTTATACAAATATAACTTCACTCTATACCACCACACCACTCTGCATAGCATTTTATAGCAAAATTATAAACCACCTCACATTGCAAAGTCCACAGATTCCTAATATTATCGTTATTTTTTGTACTTAAGATTTGTTTCATTAATGTAAATATACATACCGTTTTGTTATCTGATATGTATATGTGGTTTCTGCTGCTTATGTGATTTAGGTATATAACATTTATTTAGGTACTGCATATTAACTTTTATTCGTGTTCTTTGGTTATTTTTAATGACTTTAAAAAAGATTTGGCTCTGAATGTCAAGTCCTCATTTTCAGCAGCCTAGTTACATAACAGATTATTTTTCAAATAAGACATTGCTGGCAAAATGTAATTTTAGACAAAATTGTCAAGTATTGTTTGTTATTCTGTCCATGTACTTAGGTTTTCATTTTTGTTTCGTAATCTAGACATTAAGACCCGAGGTGGCTGCCCTAGCCCAAAAAGTTGACTTAAGTCGGCCGACAGGTTTCAACTCAGACAGTTCCAGTTCAGCATCTTCATCATCTAGTGACTCCAGCTCAGAGTCAGAAGATAGTGAGAGTGATTCTGAGTCTGAATCTGTTAGCAAATCGTAAGTACATGAGTAGTAGGAAATGTTTTCTTGAAAACATTAACTCTACCGTTGGGTGGAGGGTTTTAATTGTAATCTTATACCAATCAAATGACATGTTTAGCATGTAGTGCTCTAAGTTGAAGTCCCGGTTTTGTAAAAGTTAAGGGAAAATTGTCATTTTATCAAATAAAGTGACATAAAAAGATGAAAATTCCTTTTTATCCAAGTTAAAGAAATGCTGTTCTCATATACAAGAATAATCTATACATACACATTTAAATTAACTTTATTATATACTGATAACACATTTAAGCCAATACCATTGTCACTTTTCTTGCCTTTAAAATAATATAATAAACTAAGTAGATCAAATATACTTTTTTCCTTATGTACTGGAGTGTTAAATTTAAAAAAACAGAACCCTATTATAGGCATGTTATTTAAATTTTCATTGTGTTTATCCTCTAGAAAAAGATCCAGACGCTCAAAATCACGTTCCCGCACGCCTAACGGTGGAAGACAAACAGAATTGACCACACCCTCACGCCAGCATCATGTAAGATCAAGGTCCAAGTCCTTGTCCAGATCTAACATCTGTGTTGCTAAAGAGAGGGACAGGGGCAGCTTTCAGGACCATAGAGATAGCCGGAGTGTCTCCAGCACTCCAAAAAACTCGCGATAACCTTTGTTGATAAGCAGTAGTAGATTCCTGGGCATTGGGTGACAATTTTGTTCCCTGTTTATATTTAGGTTTTTTGTTCATTTACATGTATGTATATAATTATATATATGTGTGTGTATGTATGTATATATATATATATATATATATATATATATATATATATATATATATATATATATATATATATATATATATAATATATATACATACATACATACACATATATTTTTTAACAATTAGGTCCTTTTAAGTTTTAAAACTTTTACTGCTAATTTCTCTAGTTCCTATTTTGTGCTATAGATATTTGGGCTAGATTTTTGTTTTAGATATTTTTTTTTAGTGGAAGTTTTTCCAGTACTTTTTAATATTTCAGACTTTTATTTTTGAATGCATTTTTTTATACTTTGCTAAAATTTTGAAACCAAATTTGTTGTGAAAGGCAGTTATTGTAGGCTTCAGGGGTTTATTTATTTAGGCCTACAATTTAAAGCATTTTTAAAAACAAAACAAATTGTACCCATGTTTTTTTTATAATAATGCTGTTGATGTATATATCTGTATGTAAAGCAAGGGCCTTTTAAGTTGACCAGTGTATAGTGTAGTATGTGCTGACAATATTCTTTAATGCCATTGATGTATCACAACTTCAGGATTGTACGCTACTTTGAAAATTATGGCTTGTGAAAATAAAGGTGAGATCTGTTTGTTACTGAGGCTGCTGTTTACTGCTTTACATTTTGTTTGCTTTTATTTTTTGTCATTATCTTCCTACAAGTGTTTATTTTGTGAGTTACTTCATATGGCATTTTTTTACACAGTATTTTACTTTATAGCAAGTTTTAATTTTTTTTGCTGACTGACAGCACAGTTGCAGAGCTTTTTTTTTTTACATGTATTTAAAATATCTTCCCTCATGTTCATTATTAAATACTTCAAGTTTAATTGTTATTGAAATAAACAGAAACAATGAAATTAGTAACCAATGATTCAATTTTATATCCTCTTTTAGTGTCCTGATTTCAATGCAATGTCTGCCATTTTTGGTGAGAATATTATTCCATTTGATTTATGCAATTAAAATTGTGTTGATTATGACAGTTTTTATTAGCTGTATAATTAAGTACTTGTTCATGTACTGTATAATCCCAAGGTACTGTTCAAAAAATTTCACTAATTTGCTTAATTAAATAAAAATTTATCATGTAGCAATGTATTCACCATAAATAAGGTTTTAAGAATTTAACAAATATTTAACTGAATGGAATGAGTGTCTGGTTGTATTTGTCAAATTTTTGCACAATTATTTTTGTGATAATGTATTGTTAAATAAATAATCACAATATGACACATAACCTTCATTTGTTAAAATTTCTTCTTTTTTTACAACTTAACTGTCAGTTTTTCCATCAAGTCCCATTTACTTCGGACGAGGCTCACGTAAATAATTAAAAAAAAAAAGAGCAAGAAATGATATTCCAAATTATAGTTAAGAAACTATTGGGTTAGAAAGCCTTCACTGACTCAAATAGGACAAACTACTCTGCCGTGCAGTTATTTTGTCTCAGTACTTAGCTCCCTGCAGTACAGTCTAGTTGTTTTTGTTCCCCACGCAAGCTATATGCAACATACAACTGTTGTCACATTTCTCCACGCACTTATTTTCTAACAGTTATGAAAACAAATTCAGAGACTATGTATAACTTATTTTTATTATATTGTCAAAGTTTTAAACATCATAAGGCTGGTAATGGAATGTACAAAGGTAAAAATAACTCTAGACTTAAAAATATAAACTGTACAAGATTACATATGTATAAAATGAATCTGACTACCTTCTAGTGGTTGGGGGGGGGGGGGGGGGTTAGAGGAATGATAGCTTTTTTTTTTAAATCAGGAAAACTAATATATAAATGGAATGTTGAAAAAAACTTGGACATACTAGTAAAGCAGTTTGATTTGTTTAAAAAGTAACATCTTATTTATTTACACGGAGTATTACAAAAATTGTAAATTTTGAACAAGAAAATGAATATTCTGTACCAACACAGTGAAATATTGATGAAACAATTATGCTTTTTAATTCAGATGGATAGAAGATTATAACTGCTAAAACAGTAGGCTGTGAGTTGAGTAGAAGGTCTGATGTCTATCCTGGTCACTTAAAGGCTATTGTGTATAAGTCTGAGTAACTACAATAAAAAAAAAATAAGATTACATCTCACAGCTCTTAAAGTTTTGATGAACTTGATAAATTCTGCTAATAAAGATCTTCAAATAAATTTCTATACGAAGTTAGTTCAATTGCTAGTTCCATCTAGGTTTAATTATACAGCAGGGATACAAACAAATCATCAAAAGTAAAAAACATAATATTTACAAATGTGCAATTTTTTTCCCCACTCAATTGAACTTGTCATTCTAAGATTGTTAATCACATACATGCAAAAAGTATACAAAAGCTAATAAACGAGTTACACACCTTCCAGTTCACATACCCATGTAATGGAATGATAATTAACAAATGAGCTTCCTGTTATATTTTAGTATAGTCCGGCATCATTTTCAAACACAGATCTAAAACAATATGTACATGCTGACAATATAAAGCATGTATGAAACAGAAAATAAACAATATAAAGGCAACTCACATACCAGAAAATATAAAATTTACATGTATGTTAACCACGTACTTCTTTTATCGTTATCCCTAACAAAACACGACACTCTACCATACACAAAAAAATTGGACCCACAAACAGATCAATGCTGCCTCAGAAATACTAACACAAACAAAGATGCCAGACATGAAACAAATATAATGGAAAGGCTGGGAAAAACAGAGCGGGCACTGTTACACAGATCTGTGGAGCAGTAGCACTTTTGGGTGATGCCGCCGTTATTTTGCCAGCCGAAGCATCCATCTTTTTTGCCGACTGGTTTCTCACAAAGTCTTGTCACAACAATTGAATCTGAAATTTTAAATGTAGACAGAATTTTTTTTTAAATGTATTATAAGAGCTAAAAGTTATTTTGTTATCAGATACAGAAAAATAATAGTCCATGTTACGTTTACGTGTATTAAATGTCAATTTTTGTCAACAACATAAAATATCTAGTGTACAGTATGTCATTCACAAAGATTAATGTTTTTATTAGTGATTTCAGGCTGAACTGGCCTTGGTATTTAATGATGTGATACCATCACATACCAATAATATTGCATCTATAGTTTCTAGAATCCTTTCAAAAGCAACAATGATAGCAAGCAATTAGAACTGATAAGTGAAATAATATCCAGTATAATATTGTCTAAGGGATGATCAGGCATCAAATTAGCTAAGGGGTTTTCAGTTCAAATGATGCCCAAAAATACCCATTATTTCTCAAAGCATAATGAGCGTTTGCATTTTATGTACTCACGTCTTTCCCATCCCTGTATATAACCAGAGTCTCGTATTTTGACAATTGTTTTATATTTTGTACACACAGTGCCTGGGTCGCAGTCTGCAGTATTTCCTTCATTTTTGTCACGGTTGAACGGTTCATTGCACTCAGCTGCTGCCATTGTCTGGCAGGTGTAGCAGGTTAGTGCATATCCTACAAATAGTAAATGGAAGTCAGGCTAAAGCATAAGAATAATTACAATAATTATTTTCCTATTGTAATGTATTCATTGTCAAATTAAAGATGTTAGAAGTTCTAAAATTCAACAAAAAAAAAACTGTACTTTAATTAAGAATATGCAGTGACTACTCATTAGGCTATAGTGGTTGACATAATTTTTAAAATTCTCTAAAAGAGGCCTATTCCTATTGTAATCAGAGTTTCTTCCAGGCATCTCTTGGAGGGGGGGGGGGCGTGCCGCCACCAGAAATTTTTTTTACCCCCCCCCCCCCCCCCGAAAAAAAATGAAATTTATATAATTTATATAGAAAATATATACTTTTAACAGTGTCCGCTCCCCCGAAAATTTCAAGTTGCCCCCCCCCCCCGGAGAAAAAAGTCTGGAAGAAACACTGATTGTAATATGGTAAAAGGTCTAAACTCCAATACAAATAGCCAGATTTGAATTTTGATGATAACAAAAGCCACAAAACTTATTCAAATTATCAATTTGCTTTAAGACAGGCTTCTAATTATCCAATTTTAGTTGTCCTTTTATATCACTAACTTTACTCTTGAAATATAAACCATTTTCTAAACTCGTTCGTACATCCACCATGCTCAGATAAGTATCTGGAACTAAGTTGTTGAAAGTAAAACCAGATCACAGAATCACAATACACCGTTTACACTTGCACACCTATAGCCTAGCATTGCAAGGATTTTTTTTTCTAGTGGTCTAGCGGTAGAGAGCTGGACTGCTAACCCGTTAGTCTCGAGATCGAATCCGGGTTCAAGTCAGTAGACCGTCCCTGAGTCCACCCAGCTCTGATGGGTACCTAACTCACGTTAGGGAAAGTAAAGGCGGCTGGGCATAGTGCTGACCACACTATCTCTTCATATGCCGAGGTCACAGAAACAAGTGAACTCTACTTCACTTGCCCCATAGACCGTCAGGTTTGAAAGGGAAACTTTACTTATTTTTACTTTTACATATAGTATACATGCCCCAAGTGTAAACTAATCACTAATTAAGGCGGTGGTAAAGTGCAATACTCTAAGTGAAAAATACTGATATTTAATGGAAATTTAAGAAAATAAACAACTTTGTTACACTTACATTCTTTTGCAAATTTGTCCATAACAATTTTAGCACATGTAATGGATGTGGCATTTAAAGTTGGCAAAACATAAAGCAGATGTGAATCAAACACAAGAAGACAGTGCCAGAAAAGAATTTCAGTTGCGTATAGTTTTTGATGATATCTTTGTATAGTAAGGGGGGGGGGGGGTGACTAGTGAACTGCTTGCTTTATGGTTTTTGTGCCATCTCGCATTTTACCAACACATTACTTACTACAAAACAATTTATTAGATAGTCAGGCATATTCCAATAAATTTTATAGGGCCTAGGTCCTAAATATTATATAATTAATAAATAACTTATAAATTAATAAATGTTAACAACAGACTAGGCCTACAATATTTTAATGTTACTAGCAAAAGTGATAGGCCTAAAACAATAGGCTAGGTGGGTTAGCAACAGATAAGTTCTGGGCCTAATAAAATGGGACCATCCAAAGGGTGCTCTCTAGAAAAATAATTAGACCTAGTCTACCTGTCCATAATACGTAAAAAGCTAGAAAACTCTTAGCTAGTCTAGTCTCTGGAAAAAAGATATCTAATTAGTAATTAGGCCTATAGCCTAATTAGTGTAATTAGACTACATGTACTAATTACTATAAAAATACAGGCTACCACATAAAAATAACTTATTTTTTATAAACAACAGATAAAACTTGAAAACTACAATATTTGGTCATTTATTGACATTTGAAGTATTTTTAAGTTTTAAGCCTTGGGATGATTGGGATGCCAACATCGTTAATTAATAGGCCGATGCTAGCCGGAATAAGATATGCATGCGATACCCATGCGCAATGGAGAGAAAACTACGACTTGCTTTCGTGGCGATGTTTTTGAAGGTACTGCGCATAAGTGTGTTTACAACCGCAGAACCCTAACACCAACCCTATCCCTAATCTTATCCCTACCCCCTAACCTTCATTCTAGCCCTAACCCTAGCCATAGGTCACTGTGCATACGCAGAGCTATCTTTTGCCGAGTAAGTGGAGACGTTGGGGAGAAAAATCTTCTTCTGAGTAGTCAATTCGTAATTAATAATAGACTCTTCCGAAAATGACGATAGCGTTAGGTTGTTGGTAGTATTGTTATCTCCTTTAGTTTTTCTGAGTAAGAAATTAGGCCTAGGATGGGTTATGCCTAGATACTAGATAGAACTAAGCAAGGTTGGGGTTATGGATTGGGTTTTTAAACCGTTTTTATTAACATTTTTAAGAAGGTACTATTAGGCCTACTTTTTAATTATTGTACCATGATTGGTACAAAAGAAACCCACCAAGCCTTGGTTCTGTAATGAGCCTTTTAAAGTGATAATCATACAATAACAATCAAGCAAGCTGGGTGCGGATAGCATTTATGTTTTAAAAAAGGTCATTTCCTGGTTTGGAGTTACTCCGAGTTAGGTGTCCCCATTGTTTACGCTTCACAGGTGTGTTGCTTACCTGTACTGCAGGCGTTTAGTGATTGTTAGAGTCATGTAGTGAATAACATAAAAAACTCACCAAGCGATACCACACTCGCAAGTGTGATACATTTTATTAACCAGTTCATTGTGGTTTTAAACTGTTTAGTGAGACTTCCTAAACATAAGTTTTGTAGTGTCAAGAGAAAGCGGAAGTCGTGCTTGAAAATTACTTCGCCATCTAGTGGACAGGTAAAGGATCATCAAAGGGGCAGTCAGCCGACGACGAAAATAAGTGGACAATAATAATTTGTCCCGCTTTTAAGTGCGTTCCGTGTCTATACCATAAAACACATTAAAGAAATCACTTAGACTTGACTTACACGAAGATCAAGTATTAAGCATTAAAAGGAAGGAAATTATATAAAATTAGATTTGAAGATTGTTGCTTGCTTTTAAAAAAATACAGCAATCAAAACAATTAAAAGGAATCCAACTTGAACACACATTTCGTTTTAAACAGGGCTTTGTTGGCTTTGATTAATAAAGCATTCACCATTGTTCAATTTAACAGACGGTTCAATAAAGCATTTTGTTGTGTTTTTGTTTTTTTTTTAAAAAGTACAAAACAAAAAAAAAATATAAGGTACCTTTATTTTTAAATGCTTATTTGCACAGTAAACATAAGCCTTAGTAAACAAAACAAAAAGCATTATGTACAATTTTTCAAAAAAGCTTAAGGCGTCGTCCATAAATGACGTGGCCGAGGGGGGGGGGGGGGGGGGGGGGGGGGTGTGGTGGGGGGGGGGAGGGGTGGCCAGGCTTTTACTGACGAGGGGCAGGAAAGAAAAGTGAATCATACAGACACATTCGTGGAGGCACAGGTATATTATGAAAACAGGTGGCTTAAAGAGAAACAAATGAGTTTTTACAAAACTGCATGCTATAAAACAAAACAAATAATGAAAATATTTACAACGTAAACCTATTGTATCTACCTAAAATTTAAAAGTTTCAGCGGGTCTTTTAAATAATTCATTTGATATGTATGCACCAGCATAAAAACATGCAATTTGGCCTCTGGGTGGAGCAGATAAGAACATAATGTTGGGCGTGTGAAAAATATTTCAGCGATTGTAAGGCAATTACAAAGTTGGGTTTAAATCGAATGGTGTGTGCGTGTGTTTGTGCGTGTGTGTATGTGTGTGGTGTTGTGTTTGTGCGTGTGGGATGGGGTGGATCCCTAACTTATAGTTACTTCAACAACAGTCGTGATAAGTAAGTAGGCATACAGTAAATCTATATTTTTTTAAAACTGGCGGACACTCAGTATAGTGGGATTATTGTGTTTCTGTCATCTCGGCATGTAATGGGAGGTTGTTCAGTTACTTTACTTTCCTGAACTTTAGTGAGGTACACAATAGTGTTGGATGGACTCAGGGACTCGAGCCCGAATCGAACTTGAGACCTTGGGCTATTGATCTACTGCTCTACCTCGCCCATATATATATATATATATATATATATATATATATATATATATATATATATATATATATATATATATATATGTATATATATATATATATATATATATATGTATACAAGCTCGTATGTTGTAGTTACTTATGAATGAGGTCAAACAAACGCTATACATTTTCGTGGGTATATTTTTTATACTACATGGATAGGAGGGGTTTCACGTGATATGTCTTTAGAATATAGTATTTTTTGCATTTATCCTTAGAAAATGCGGTTAATTTTGGGGCGGGGGTAGTTCCTTTGTAACTTCATACATTAGTTTCGAAAGGGTGGTGGTGGGGGGGGGGGGGTCTAGCTGGTCGGGTTATTTTTGTTGCTCTTCATTACTTAAAAATTAAAAAAAAAAAGTTCTCGACATTACTGTAACAAGGTCAGGTAAATCAGAGTTCACCTAATTCTGCACATAAGTTTTTTTTTATCCTACCGTTACGAATGCACATTCTAGACGCGACTTCGACAGCGTTTTTCAATTTTTGGACGTTGAGAAAATAAATGAATGTTTTCTCGGGTATATGTTAATGGTGTGGCTGGCTGATCTCCGAATTTCCGTTGTAAGGTTTTCTCTGTCACGGTTTCTTATAGCAACAAACAGAGATGTTGACGTTCTGATTTAAAAAAAAAAAAGATGTATTCACATCTGCTACTTTTGTAACAAATGGGAAATTCGAAACGTCGGGGCCCGCACATTTACTAACAGCACATTGGTAGAAGATGTTTATCCAGCTTCGTGCAGAAGAAAAGTGATATTCCACACGTAGAATGAAAACGATATTCCTCACAATGAACTCGAGACAAAAGAAATGACGCATTTTGCATTGAAACAATGGCTTCTTACATATTTCTAGACGTCTATATAACATTCTTTCAATATCAAATATTTCCAGAAAAGAAAAAACAACAGCGGATCATTTGAAATTATGTTTATGTATCCACCATATATCTTAGTTCTTTGTTGTATACATTCCAATAAAGTAAGGTGTTATATCTAAGGAGTTCACATAATTATGTGTTTATCCTTACAAAATATACATTTATTTATCCATGCAACGTGTTCGCTTCTGTTTTTATTCCGACGAAACATTTCAGTTGATACATCTTTTATCAAATTGTTTCATGAAGGTTTTTTTTTTAATTCGTTGTTTTTTTTATATCACTAAACTACTCAAAACACATCGCAGCATGCATTCCATTGTAGCAATGGCAGCAAAAGAAGTAGCTTGCTTTTGTTTTAAGTATCCAATTTTTGTATCCAATCCGAATTTTTCACTTCAGCTCCGCTGCGAAGTTTACCAACACAACACAACACCCCGTCACTAGTCCGACCAGTGATGACGCCAGGTGCCAACGATAGCCATGCTAGGACGGAGCTGGCAGGCCTGGTGGCGCCAGAGAGTTGCAGAAGTCGGTGTAGCAGAAGCACTGCTCCGTGTAGCCGCCATTGTTCTGGTGCTTGTAGCAGCCTGCGGGCTTCACCATGGTGGGAGCCGTGGACGCAATGCAGCAACACGGGAGACAAGCACGGACACTGGAATAAAAAATAAGAATTTACACGTTTACTTCCCTTTTATCTTTAAAAAAAATATTTTTAAAATACTAAAAAATAGCTAATGCATTCTCCAAGAATTTCTTATGCATGTCAACGTTTATACGTGCATATTTTCACAGTCCCGGTATTCATTTATTTACTTGGTGTTATGATGCGTGTATCTTTTAAGTGGAAGCCAGCTTATTTTTCCTACTCGTAAAATCTGAGCGTTCGTTAGCCGAAGCGTTCGTACCACGAGACGCAGAAGCTGTACTTACGTTTCTCCCACCCATCCATGTAGCCTGAGTCCCTGAGTTTTATCTTGGTCAACGGGTCTTGAGACAGCCCATACAGTCCGTCATGTTCTTGGGCGACACGCAGGTGTTGGGGGACACCGCCAAACCTGTTGTTGCATTGGGAGCAGTTCAGGGCCACTGGGAGGGGGTGGGGGGGGGGATACAGAGAAGAAAAAAAACTCTTAAGTTATTTAATCAAGCTTGTTGGAGATAAGGCACGTTGTATATAACTCAAATAACTGGACAATATTAAATCCGGTGGTGGGGAGGGGATACAGAGAAAAAAAAAACTCTTAAGTTATTTAATCAAGCTTGTTGGAGATAAGGCACAATGTATATAACTCAAATAATTGGACAATATTAAATCCGTCACCCCACCCCTTCCCCCCCCCCCCCCCCCAGTCCACACACCCCTGACTTGGATTATTCCTTTAAATCCCAATGAGGAGCAAAGGGGCTGCAGCCAGAATTTCTTCCAGGCATCTCTTCGGGGAAGTCTGGAGAAAACACTGGCTGCAGCCACACCCCTCGACCGGAATATGTTTTAGGCTGTTCTCTTTAGTTGAGCCCACGTAAATCCAACAGCCCTTGCTTCTACTTCCACTGTTGGCCTACTTCCTCCAGGATTGTCTAGAATAACTTACTTTACCCCCCCCCCACCCCACACGTTCCATTTACCACAATGTCTCTCATTAAAGGCGATATAAAAGTGAAAATAACGTCCCTATGAACATAATTAAAAAACAGTTTGTTGGTCACATAATCTTTGATAGTTCAAATTTATATTTTAAACGAATTGATTTGATGCGCGTAAGCTATATGAATGTATTTAACAATATTTTAATTTTTAATATATCATGACCAGAGTTTCTTCCAGGCATCTCTTCGCGCCCCCCCCCCCTCCCCCCAAACGAAATTAAATTTATATAGAAAACATATACTTTTACCAGTGTCCGCTCCCCGGAAAATTTAGAGCACCCCCCCCCCCCCCCCCCCACCCGAAAATATAAAGTCCCACCACTCCCCTCCTCATCCTCGGAGAAAAAAGTCTGGAAGAAACACTGATCATAATAAGGTTTGAATTTTATTTCTAACAACCATTCTCTTTTCTATCCACAAAACACTGGATGAAGGTTGGGTCAAGTCTAGCTGTCCCCTCTCTACAAATTTTAAGCTGTCCCTCTCTGCAAAATTTAATTGAGCAATTAAGATTTTATAATCGTATGAAAAACACGTCATTGTTTTGAAACAGTCCCAGCTTTAGCTCTATTTTAAAGCATCACCGATACATTCGCCCAGTGGCGTAGCCAGGATCGTCTCAATGTGGGGTTCCAATTTTTACCCGGGGACAAACTTTCGATTTGCACCTCAAACTTTCGATTTGCACCTCAAACTTTCGATTTGCACCTCAAACTTTCGATTTGCACCCCCCCTCAAACTTTTTATATACCGAGGGGTCTATGGGGGTTATGACCCCCCCAACCCCCCCCCCCCCTGCCTACGCCACTGCATTAGCCTGCTTCAGAGACACTAACATTTTTATAAAGATAACAAAAATAGCTAAGTGATTTATTTAGAGCTTCACCGGTATTAAACGTTTTCAACATTAATCTTAATTTATGCATCATCCTTTTAAACGACTTAAAAAAAATAGCTGTGATTATTGTAATGCTTCACCGGTATTAATAGTTTTCAGCTATAGTTCCATTTTGAGCCACTAAAAAATCAAAAACAAAAATAGCAGTGCTATTAACTAGGTCCTTCACCGGTGGTTGACATAACTTGCGTAGGCATTACATTATCTTTATGGCATTAAAAATGATCCACCCTAATCACCCTCATAAAACAAACGTCGGTGACCGATGAAGATCCCCAAGCAAAATATTGCTCC